AAAAAATGGGCCAATCGTTTCCTGCAACAGTCAGTTCTTCTGCATTTAAAATTGGCAGGTGGGTGGAATAAACACTGTTATTTTGTTATTATATTATAAAAAGTGTATTTATTTTTATGTATAAATAAATATGTTTATAAAACAGTACAATTTTTGCTTTTTTTATAATTTCCCTTATAATAGTAGTACTCTTTCGTTCTGAAAGAAACTGCAGATTTTCACTTAAACTGATTTATTCCCTACACCACGTTCCCTTTACGTGGTATAGGGAATAAATCAGTTTAAGTGAAAATTTGCAGTTTCAGAATGAAAGAATACTACTAATAAAGGCTAATTTAAATTTTCCCCAGCCTGAATGTGCGATAATGTCTTACGATACGTTTTATACCTATCTCTTTCTTTTTCATATAAAGCACACATAATTATGAAAGATAGCAATAAAGACGTACGTCCTGCCATGGTCCTGCTAATTGGTTTCAAAATTCTTGTTCTGAGTTGCGCTAGGGAACGCGGTCCCACTCTTTACCATGGGATTTGTCAGTCTCTTTTTATTTGTTTGTCTATGGCTTAGACGTAAAAGTGCTTTACTTTTATACCTAAGCGTTAATGACTTTTTATATTGTCACATCGCGAAAATTAATACTTTTGTGACGTTTGAAAAAAAAAATGTTTTATAGATGAGGTGTTACTCTTGCAGGAAGTGGCCTAACTAATAAAATATAGGTTTCTTCATATCAACAGATTTATTATAGTTAGATTTTTTTGTATTCTGGTTACCACAATACTGGCCAATAATATATTTTTTTAAAAGATGTTGTATAACGTACTATATTACTAGCTTGCCTAGCTTTGAGATTCGCTGAAACGTTTTCTAAAAAAAACAAATACAATATATTATTTAAAAATATCAATCCATACCATTTTCGTATAGATAATATGATTATTAGTTTTGGTGCAACATGTGCTGATAAAATAATAATAAAAAAGAATCCATACGAGTATATGTAACAGACAGACAAGAAACCACAAAAAGTCGATTCGATCCGGCGCGGCGCGGCGTGTTGAAATAGGGCAGCGATTATTAGTTTTTGCAGACAAGAGAGAAATTTTCTATATCGAAAACTCGTACAGCCAACACATGTTGAATTAAATTGACAAAAAATTCCAGCTTATAAACTGGAAATTATTGTTTACTTTAAAGAGATGCGGTTTTAGTCTATGATACTACTGCTGTATTGATGACACTACTTTGGGTTATTTGTGATATTTTTTATATATTTTGATATTTTTAATCAAATTTAATGAAAAAAGAAAGTAGAAAAGGTATAACAAACAGGTACCAAGTGGAAAAATCAGACAAAGCAATGGCATATAGAGAGAGCTAGAAAAAGTGGGAAAGTTCCAATGTATTTGCAAAAAATATACATAATAATTTTTTTAACATTCATTCACTTTTATATCTATAGTCTTAAAGAAAAAAATTATCTTTTCAAGGGTATTGTATTCTTTTTTTATACATGGAGAGTATGAAGTAGCGATGGGAACTATCGAATGAATTAGACTATCGAATGGTTAATGAATGAATGATTTCAACTATCGAATGGTTTTATTCGAATAAAATCATTCATTCATTTGTAAATTAAAGCATATGTGACAACCTTGCCGTGCGACTAAATGGTTATCGTTGAGCCACGACTATCGAATGCTTTTGATAAATGAAATTTAGTATTCGTTTGGATTTTGTATGCGTCAGTGCATTATTGGTTCTTCCAAATTTTTATAACTTCGCCGTATAAATACTGTGCTATTTTTGCGTTTATTAAAATAGTTAAAATACTGAAATAGTAGTTATTTTTTAATTTTATTTATTGACGATTGTGTGCATGTGCAGGTGGTCAAAATTTTTCCGATACTTTGTGTGGTTTTCCGTAGTCCGATCTTTCAATTATTTCATTTTATATGGTATATGGTCTATTTTTTAATGGGAAATTTTGAAAAGTAGCAATTTTTAAGAGAGATGAGATGAACTTACAATTAATTTTAAAACTACATATTTGTATTTTAGATGTTTTAATAATACCTATGAATTAGTTGGAACTTAATAATTATATTTAAGTAATGTGGTTAAATAAATGGTTATCGAACTCAAACTATGGGGTGAGAAAATTAAAATGAAAATTTTACACGTGCCAATTTAAAAAAAGTTAACGATGTTTGTATTTTGTTTATGCTAATTCTCTTACATGTAGTTTTTGCGAAGAAATTTTCATTTCATTTTTTTTAAAGTAAATGCCAGTAAAAGTAAATATAATTTTTAAATAGTAATATAAAGCACCTAATATAAATAATTTTGATTTCTAATTTTTTATTTATATTTTCCTTCCATTACACCGCTTGCTTAGAAAATTAATAAATGTTTATATTTCATGATTTTAAAATTTGTTGTTAATATAACAAATTAGTTCTGTAATTATTATTATTTAATAAACCAACATTGCCAAAAAAATTAGAGACTATATTATTTTTAAATAGGATCTAATATAAATAATTTTGACATCTAATTTGTTGTTTATATTTTGCTACTACTTAAAAAAATATTTATATTAAATGATTTTAAATTTTGTTGTTAATAGGTATAACAAATTATTACTGTTATTATTATTTATTAAACCAGTCTTTGCTTAAAAACATTAAAAATAATTTTCCTACATCCAAAATAACAAGTATTATTGCAGTGTAACAACAGAATATTAAAAAAAATGCAGAATATATAGACATACTATCCCTAACTAACTAAAGCCAAACAATAATATTCTTTGCTAAAATCAACTAATACAAAAATATGGCAACAGCGCCCTTCATAATGTATTTTCTGTGTAAATACTAGCACTTCAATAAAAAAAATAATGTGTCCTTATCTATATATGACTCCGCAAAAATCAAAGATGCCGGCTTCTTTTCATAGCATTGCCACCGACCGCTTTCTCGGAAACCTACGTCGCCGGGCGACAACTAAAATTCAGTTAATATTTTATTATAATCGATCCTGACGAATAAATGAATTTCATAAATGAATGAATTTTATAAATGAATGAATTTTATAAATGAATAAATTTTATAAATGAATGAATTTTATAAATGAATGGTTTTTGCTGCCGAATTACTAGAATACAATATTTCAAGGCAGATGACGGATCTATTCGATAATTTTTATTCGAATAGTTTTCAACGAATGTTTTCTTACTAACTATCGAATTATTCGAATGAATTGCAACTATCGAATGTTTCGATAGTATTCATTCGATAGTTCCCACTACTAGTATGAAGTCAGCAAAAGCAAATGCTTTTAGGCATAAAGTGTTCTTTGGAAATGTATTCAGGTTCCCCCACATGCCTAAACAAATAGATCGGTATCACATTTTCCCCTTACTTTTAAGCATATAGAATTTTCAATTGCTACTTGAGATGTATATCGTTGAAATTATCTCAATTTACTCGTTGTCTAATGTAATATTCTGTTTCAAATATTGTGCAGTGATTTTTCAATTATTCATATTTATTTTCGTTTAATTTGCTAGACAATATAATACAATTTCTATTAATATAAAATATTGTATTATTTATAAGTGGAATATGCTTTTTAATTAAACTGTATTAAAAAATAGACATAACATGTTCATACCATTTATCAAAAATTTAAAAAAATGCACAATAGTAGTGGGTAGGATCCTCATTTTCTATTAATGATTTTTTTTTTCATACAAACTAATACTATTCCGAACCAATCAAATGAACTACAGCCTAGGTACAAAGACACTATTTTTAAAAAATGTCTATACCTATGTAGCGCATTCATCTCTCCAAAAAAATTCTTTATGGGTATTTCGCCACTGCACTGCAAGAAAATCTACAAAATAAAATAGTTATTTTTTGTAAACACTTCTGCGTTAAACCTAAACGGACGCTGCTTGTCAGAAGTTATGTTTACAGTAATACAAATTTGCCTAAAATGCTTGATCTATCTTGAAAACTTGAAAAAAATGCTTAACCTTTCGGAAAGGTATCTCTTTCCGTCGTCGGAAGCAAAAAAATATACAAAGAATACAGAAAAAAACTATTTAAAATATTTAAATTCAACTATTCGAGAACACTTTACTTTTTTAAAACAGATAGACGTCTACAAGAAACGTCTACAGATAGACGTCTACAGACAGACGTCTACAAGAAACCGTTGACGTTCTGTTAAGATGAAACACACACACATAAATATAAATTTTAACAGAACGTCAACAGTTTCTTGTAGACGTATCTGTTTTAAAAAAGTAAAGTGTTCTCGAATAGTTGAATTTAAATATTTTAAATAGTTTTTTTCTTTATTCTTTGTATATTTTTTTTGCTTCCCACGACCGAAAGGGATAACTTTCCAAAACGTTAAGCATTTTTTCTTTGTTAGGCAAATTTGTATTACTGTAAACATAAAATCTGACAAGCAGCGTCCGTTTAGGTTTAACGCCAGAAGTGTTTACAAAAAATAACTATTTTATTTTGTAAATTTTCTTGCAGTGCAGTGGCGAAATACCCATAAAGGATTTGTTGGAGACACTATTTTTATTTTTTCTGTATAAATACATAAAATACAGTAAATACCTTAAATTTATTTTACTTATGACTATTAATTTACAATAAAATATTGAATAGCAATAATAAGAACGAATTTAAAAAAAAACATGTTTTGAAAAGGCTCTTTAAAATTACTGAATTTGGTTTCATATTGGTTGCATATGAACCACAAAACCCCAATCCTCTATTAATTTTACTACATTATATTACCTACCATATTTACCTACTAACTCTACCATTTTAAGAATGAAGAAAACAAAATAGCATTGTGTTACAAAGCATAAACAATTAAAATAAAAGCACTATAATATGTTGTGTCAAATTAATTGATACCAAATTATTTTGTCTTTTGAAAAATATAATGTAGGTTAGTACCCTACCTGGAAAATAGGCCTTTACTTCTTCCTTGTATATGCTTTCCATTGTTCAGCTGTAGCCTAGCATCCCATCTATGCCGGTACAATGTCACATGGTTCCACTGATTTAACAGGACGGTCTCATCTGATCTTACCACCCCAATTCCTGAGCCGCAGTCGAATCTGCAAAAAAAAAAGAAATATAAACATATTTTAATACACCATTAATTAAAGCCTATATAATTTCTGGAGGTATTGAGAGGTATCTATGTTATTGAGAGGAATCAAAAATCAAGTTATCGAGAAAAGGTACACCTTGATGATAAAGAACTGGTTTTTAAATATCTTAATTTGTTAAAGTATTCCACAGAGTATTTAAAACTTTCCAAACTCTGTCAAAAGAACAACATTTTGTTATTTCGCGTATGTCAGGACTTTAATTTTTAATTTAAATGGAGGCTAAAAGTTCAAATAAATTAGCTAAATATTACTTTAAGCTTGATTAAAATCGGCCAACTAGAACAAAATATTAAACTTTAAAATCCATGAAAATTTTAAAGTGTCCGTTTTTTGTGCTGGTCAGTGTTAAATCCATTTCCAGTGGTGACATGTAACATGACCTCTTCCGGTCAGATATCTAATTAGCACAATCGATACATATATTTGATAGGCATAAAGCTGCGGTTTGGATACCGCATTAACAATATAGTCCGCCAATTTAGTCTCAACCACAATACAAAACAATGAAAAAAATTCAAAATCAAACCAAAGCGAAATTCATACCTATATTTATTATTATTGAATAATTGAATAAAAATGGAGTATATCAACAAATCTGGCAAAACCGCGCAAATATTTACTACGGCTGGCTCGACATCCGGTTCATTAGTTTGAATTTCTAACATTGGAAATACTTAATTTCGTATATGGAGACCAGTTTACGACCTTTCGATCAAGGACAAAAGATAATATTTTGCAAGGATGGTAACTATACTAACTATACATCAATCTCTTTGACGATGTTGAAGAGATGTGGTTCTCTCGTTCGTCTTGAGTCCACGCCTGGCAACACCGTAGTATGGCACTTAAAGATATGTTGGTTCTTTTGTAAATTCCTCGTACCGACAAACCTGCCTGTCACAACCGAACAACTCGTCCCCTTTCAAAGTAACTAAGCTGAGGTGTCCGAGAAATTCTACGTACTCGAGTACGCACTCTACGCATTACGGCTACTTCGACAAAAACTATGAAACAAACCTTGTTAACTCTACGGTTAAAGTATGACTGTAATTGCAGAAATTTGCAAAAACAGAATAGTACTGTGTCAGTTAACGACCAATGCAGGTACTGAAATATTCAAGAGACAAACCAGAAAATTTAATTATTTTTAGGCAATATAAAGTAGCCAGTCTCCTCAATGAACACCTCACTAGATTGAAGCTAAGAAACAACGGCGAATGAAGATTCCGTTATGGGAAAACACCAGAACACCTTATCACGGCGAACTCATCGAAACGACAACCATATATATATACTAGTCAGTTTAGAACGTTTTTCTACGTTGTCCGATACCCAATTTCCAGCCTGGTCTATTCGTACAATCCTCTGTTGACAGGTTTCTTTCACTCATCGCTTTGTGTACGCTTTTTTGCCATTCCAGTTTTGGTCTTCCCTGTTTTCTTCTGCCCTTTGGTTGCCAATTGATTATTTTCTTGGGCAATCTAGTGTCCTTCATTCGCTCTACATGTCCGTACCAGATCAGCTGCTTTTTCTCTATATCCTGTGTTATCGTACCTTCTATACCCATTTGTTGTTTTATGGTATTATTTCTTATTCGTTGTTGTCTTGAAATTCCCATTGATCTTCGAATGACATCCATTTCTACGGCCTCTATCCTCTTCTTGTATCTCTCAGTTATTCTCCATGTTTCTGCTCCATACAGGAGGTTGCTCTTTATCATGGTTTCATATATATTCAATTTTCTTCGCTTTGTTATTGATTTGCTCCATAAGATTCCATTTAGACATCCGATTATTTTTTTCGCGTTGATAATCCTTTTCTCTATTTCTCTGCCGTCAGTTTCAGTGTTATCAAACGTAATTCCCAGGTACTCATACTCTTGACACTGCTTAATTTCGTGACCGTTGTCCAAGTTCAAGTTTCCTTCTTGTGCGCCTATACATAGATATTTTGTTTTGGCTATGTTAACTGTCAAGCCCCATTCTCCGTATTCTTCAATAAGTTTTCTTAGCATATATTGCATATCGTCTTTGTCATTGGCAACTATTATTTGATCGTCTGCGAATTGAAGTGTGAACAAACATTCATTGTCAATCTCTATGCCCATACCACGGATCTTTCTTTTCCAATTTTTTAAAGCGACTGCAACGTATATTTTAAAGAGAATAGGGGAGATGCAACAACCTTGACGCAAGCCTTTGTCGGTTATAAATGTTTCTGTAAGCTCTTTTCCTACCTTTATTTTTGATTTTGCGTCCTTATATAGTTCCTTAAGAGCTGTTATATAAGTATGGTTGATCGTAGATTGTTCTAGTACCCTCCATAGTCTTGATATTGGGACAATGTCGTACGCTTTCCGTAAGTCAACAAATGTTATATGTGTGTCCAAGTTTCTTGCCGATCTTTTTTCTATAACTTGTTTTGAACAGAACACGTTATCTGTACACGACCTTCCTGCTCTAAAACCATTCTGTTCTTCTTCCTCCTTTTCTCTATAATCTTCTTCTATGAGATCACGTAAAATTCTACCATATAACCTGCTCATTGTGATCGTCACTGATATACCACGGTAGTTACTGCAGTCCAGCTTATTGCCTTTTTTATGGATCGAAGATATATAAGCCAGCTTCCAGTCTTCTGGAAAGGGATGTCCATTTAAGCAAATATTGAAAATTAATGCCAATGAAACGACAACCATTCGTGTCATAATTTTTTTGGTACAACTGATAGCGGAGATAGGAAGCACTAACCTCTGTAAATCATCGGCATCTCAGATCATCGGCATCCTATCTTGGTCCAGAGCCAGTACTGGGAATACCCAAATGTATGGCCCGTAGTGTACTAAAACTCTGGATTAGGGAAAAGCAGAATGTCCACTGGAGAAACAGACGGGAGCTCAGGCACAGCAAGGTCTTTATCCAAGAACCTAGCTCTAAAACCGCAAAAAAACTGCTAATGCTTAGCAGGAATAAAGTGCGAATTACGACAGGCCTCTTGACAGGACACATGGCTGTCAAGTGTTACCTGAACAAGATCAACCTGTATCAAGGAAGTCTTTGCTGCACACTCTACGATAAAGATCTTGAAACATCGGAGCACATAATATGTCACTGCGAGGCTCTGGATCGCAAGCTAGGCTAGAACCGGAGGAACTATGCTCCTATCACATCAAGGGACTGCAAAAGTTAGTGCAGGGCACAGGGATAGGAGAATGGGTGCAGATATAGAAAGGGGACAAACACAATAGGCCTCACAGGTCGCAGTGTTTCCGGCAGTGGACGGCCCCTTGTTATTGAAAAAAAACTCTGTAAAACCGTCTCAGATACTGGCTTTTGTTAAAGCACTGAGACAGTATGATTAGTTATAATTCAAGAAAGGGGGACACAAATGTCAAGGCGCGGTGATTGAACTCCCCCCACCCATACATTCTACATTCTACAAGGTAACAAGCAAAAAATTTTCCAGTTCTGATAAACAAATATAGGTGTTCTCCTTTTATTGTCACTCAGTATATCAATTCAGCAAAACTGAAAAATAGCATGATATAAAACTAAATTTCAAAGGAGTCCTCAAAAATCCTAAAGAAAAGTATGGCAAAGGAATTGTAATTTAGCTACGGTCTTTTACAAAAAATATAGAAAAAGAGATCTTGATTTCAGCTTGGCGTCTCATTCGGAGCGGTATCATAAGATGCCAGCTTATCGCAACAGGCAATATTGCCAGAGGGCGAGAATATGTTGACAAGGCTTATTTAAATTTCTCAGAATACGAACGCTTGGGTTTGTGTGTTATCTTTGTGTATTGGTAAATAAAAGTCGACGAATTGTTGTTTGTTTTATATTTTTTTGCATTATATTTATATGAAAATGGAAATAATAGACTAGGTTTTGGTGATCGACTCTAGTAAAATTACCAAGTAGGAATAATATAAAATGAATTGTAAACTACAAAGTCTTGGTAAAATTAATGTAAATTCATGTTAAATAAAATACAAGTAGAAACAATCAAGAATTACATAAACCAGAAGAAGTACAGAAATGATGAAACTAAGCAAAATTGATTTCGTTAGTGTAGTGTTATATAAAATAACTTTCCTTTTTTGTAGATGAAGAAAAATTAAGAAGTCTTTTCAAGTAGTTCCTTCTTGTTGATCTCACAAATCTTACCAAAAAAAATTGCAATTACAGTGAATATTGTTTGAGAATTTTTTTTTATTTATATGATTTATTTACACGCACATACACCACCAATCACACCAAACACAACCAAACCAATCCCTCTCCAATATACAGGGTGGTCCGAACTGTATTTCGGAAACTTGTGCATCGTATTCTGCAGATAAAAATAAGTAAAAAAGTTCGTATAAATGCATGTCCCAAAATGCTTAGTTTCGGAGATACTGGGTGTTGAAGTTTCATTTTTATTTTGATCTTTTCCAAATAATTTCTGAAGCAACGTTAATATTTGGATATAAATTGGTGTCTGGGAGTTTTTTGACATGAGAAATTTGATTTTGAGGTCAATATGATTCTTACTTGTAGAGGGCGCCACCTATATATTTTTTAACTTGTTTGAAGAGTAATAACTTTTTGTCCGTACCTGTATAAAACTACCGAGTAAAAAATATACACTTACGACGTTTCTTACGCAAAAAAGGTCTCTTTGTAAAAACCGCTACGAGTTATGGTTCTCGAAATATTTGGAATCGATATTATCAGTACCTATCGTCATTGACATAAAATTAAACATGTTGACTCTAAATAGTTATTAGACGGAAATCATAAATGTCAAATGTTTTGGTGCCAAAAGTTCAACAGAAACTGTTTCATTATCATTTTTTGCAAGAAAAATTTATGATTAATTTAAAAAAATAAAAAGGTATCTTATCTAATAAAATTTATCATTTTAGTCAAATAACTATCTACACAACACGTTTATTTTTT